ATACAAACTTGTTGCTATGAACACACAAGTGGCTTTGGAACAGCAGAAACACGTCTCAGGTTTGACGTTGAGCGGGTCGATCCCTCGGATGCGGTCGGAGGGGTTATAGACATATACCGTGCAAACGCGCGCAAACGAGTTCTATGAGCCACCTAGGCGAACCCTTCTATTGCATCGAAATTGAAGACGACCCGCGTCGGGATCTTGCTGCCGCACGAGATATTTGCGAGCTTGTATGAGTTCAACAATGGAGAACTTTTTTCTTCACTATTGACAGGAACCCCTGGGGCCACCCAGTTGCACCTGTGTTCAAGGGGTCTCAAGTTCTCATGTTGAACATGCGGGGAACTCAACATCTTCAGGTCATTCTTTGGTGTGCGCCTGAGGATTTGGAAATGTATTGGGAAAATAACCAGGACCTAGCAGAGAATTTGTCACAGTTCTGGGATGAAGATGTGAACCTGCAACAGTGTGTGCCCTTGCGCCTATATGGAGATGGTGCTGATGTGTTAGGCCCCCCTGCTTTGTTATTTTGGTATTGGTCGATGCCACTTCCATGTGCTTTGCTTTTGATTTCCAAAGGTCAAAGATTAGACAAATCCGCTTTTGGTGGTTGAGGTCAACAGAACTTCGAGATGCTGTCCCTCATTGCAGCGTCATCCCGACACTCGAGCTCCATGAAATCTCGAATTGTGTTACTTGCCAAACACGTGGACAAAGAGTGCTTGATTGTTGGGAAGAATTTTCCTTGGCTTGAAAATTGCTTTGCGTCAAGCGTTGACGCCGATGCAAGGCTCGCAGTGCGCAACACCCTATACACTTCAAAATCAGTGCGTGAGAAATTGGTGGATCTACTCGTTTGGTCTTTCACCGCACTCTGTGCCGCGGTTCAACCAGCTGGAAACACTCGCAAGGGTCATAGAGAATTGCACTTGGAATGAAAATTCTTGTCTGAGGCGCAGGTCGATGGCCGACTGCTGATGCTTGGGGCCGTGAGTTTTCTGAGGATTATGAACCGCGCTGGTTCGCAAGGGCCGGGAGTCAGTTAGCTTCAGGGTTCAGAGGAGTTCTTGATGGACTACAGGGAGATCAAGACTTTCTTCATAAACTATTATCTTTCAAACGCGTTTTGGCACCAAACAGTGTTTTCTGGTTTTCCGCAAATACATACAATCTGGTCTGTTTGCGAAGCGTGGTTTTCTGGCCAAGTCTCTGGAGAACTTCTCAGGAAGCTGGCATAGCTCGAGAAGGCAGATGTGCCAGTACTGCGGCGCAGTCCGAACACTCCTGCCACAAGAGCCAGAAAGCATGCTGTTCACTGCCTACGGATTGAATGCAGCGCACCGGCAAACGATACTTGTTAGATAAAACGGTCATGTATATGGGGTGTTGTAGAACTTGGGTGTACGCATACAAACGTAGATCAAACCACACATGCTTGATCCAGGATCCTGAGAACGAAAGAGGAATGGGTGGCAGTTCATGGAGCTGCTCCGTTGACACGGGTCCCCGGATTCATGCCCTCCCGCAACTCGCCACTGATTTTGTGGGTTTACACTTTAATTGCTTTCTCTTCTTGCGTCACACATGTACGAATGGACAACCAAAACCTATAGGTGTGTATGCAGACCTGATGCACGTCTGCGACCTCCAGATTTGTCCAGACGCCATCACATCCACTTTGCTGGAACTGACCGAGCCCACTCCACACGCTTCGAGAGACAGCAAACTTGCGGAGCTCCTCCGCCAATACCAAGCATGGTGCAGCGAAAGCGGCTGCTGGGCATGCCATGGGGGGTAGTCCAGTAGGTCGGAATAGCAGGCGGACATGAAAACATGATCGTTTCTGACATGGAGTGTTAATGGAATCTGGGGTTCATGGAAGGACAAACACCTGCACTTTCTGTTTTTTGAGTCGCTGCAACTTTGTGGGGCGACGTCTACATAGTGGGGCTCACCTGCTGCTTTGAGATTTGCAATTCTTTGTTTGGTTGCCCCCAAGGTATCCCATATGCAGCGAGAGCTTCCTCCAAGCTGTTCACAACAAAGGTTCTTTGCCATGGTGGATCCGCCCAGTATTGTAGCGTTTCGCAACGGTACCTCAAAGCTATCGCTGCGCGCATGATGATTTATTTCATGTGCGATGTTGCGCGTGAGCACCTGGCGGAGACTCCAGCTTCAAAGTGCTTCAGCAAATCTATGGTTTGTAGTGAAGACAGGTAGATCGGAACACTGTGGTTTCAACACAGCCTGAGGCACCGTTTCAACGTATTTTTGGCGCTCACAGTGATTTACACGACTCTAGCTGAGCATGGGTGCTTGCCCTAGTCTGCAGTGTCCAAGCTAAAGTCTCTGCCACATGCTCACGCCGAGCTGAGCCGCAACGTTCCCAGGAAGTTCTGGCCGCCAAACTGGCTATCAAAGAACCATCCAACTTGGACGTTGGCTGATGCCTACATGATCTTCCGAGGGTCCTACAACTGACGCTAATCTTTGTCTTAAGTTTTGTGGTTTTACTTGGAACTCTTGAGTTGAGTTGTTCAGCTGCTTTACCAAAAATCAACCTGGGCATCCTAGGGCTTGCAGCTCACGCGCTTGAGCGTGAGAAATTGGTGTGGCCGCTCTTGCCAAAGCAACATCAAATGGAACACTTAATTTTTGAGCAGGCAATGTTCGTGAACCCCAGGCACTGCAGTTGTGTCCTTGACGAGGACTTGATTGGCCGTATAAAAAACTTAGCGGCCCACACTCATCCGTCAACCATGTCCCTCCGCGTCCTCCAACACTATTGTTTAATGGCGGCTTTGGAATGGTGCGGAAGGGAGTGGCTGTCTCACATGTAGACGGACCCTTGTGAAGCTCGAGAGGTCGAAACGGAGCACGCTATCGTCAGCAAGGGTTCAAACTCAAACGTTTTGGTTCGAAACGAGGTTTGCTGCCGTCGGACACGTGTTTGGTGTGGATACATTGCGTCGTACATGGCACAGCTGTCAAAAACTAAATTACACCAGCATAGACCCAGATAGCTAGGCAGAATCCCACGAGCTGTTGACGTGCGACTGGCTGGAACAAGAATGCACGCAGCCTGCACAGCCAGCTGACGGCACCTCCACAGCGCGCGCAACCAGCTGACACCAGCACCGGTGCGCTTTGCCAGCTGACAACACCGGCAGCGGCGCCAGCAAGTTTTTTGTCAACGACTTTTTGATACTTGGCAAAGCCGTGGAGAATCTGGTGGTAGCTGAGCAGCTATCCTGAGCCATCCTTAGGCAAACCAAATTGAACTATAGAGCTCCAGGGTTGTATGGTTCGACCATAGTGACTCTCAACCTCTGTTGGTAGAAGCGGTTTGCGAGCGCCTCGCTGCAGCTGGTAGCCAGCAGCTTCTGCTTTTAGAGCTGAAAGAGCTTGACGATGGGCTTTCCATCGCAATGCTTGACCGACCGGCCTCTTGCGATCGTGTGTTTGCAAAGTGAAACTCTTCATGAACTGCAGACACTGTGGCGACCAAATCAAACGAACAGCTCGAGCGAACTCAGAGCAGAGCTTATCAGGGTAAACTTGAGCAAGCTTCGTACGGAAGACCCAGGCGTTAAAGAAGGGTGACCAAACCCTACCTTTAAGCTTAACATGCGAATGGCCGCCTGGACAACGGCGAGCCAAGCAATTCAAGGCCTCATGCGAAACAAGCAAACGAGTTGGCTTGATTGAAGGAGCCCCGAAAAAGCACTGGTCGAGATCAACGTTAAAAGCTCGAGTGGCTTGCACGAAACTCAGCACCTGTGGCGTCTGCCAAAGGAGGCTGAATTCAGGATTCTCGATAGAGAAATCTCCTCCAAGATCGAAAACTGCCTGACAAGCTTCCAGTGAGCGAAACAAGAACAGATTTCCCAGAAACACGAGAGCATCATTGTCTGCAGACAACGAAGGCAACCCGAGCGGGCTGTCTGGCGATCGCAACGGGGGTGGACCACCATCATTCTTACGTGCAGCTGAGAAAGTGTTACAAGGTGTTCCGCAGTGCAAAAAGCGAACGCCCTTAGCTCGAATGAGCTCCATGATGAAGCTCCAACAATCGGCGTCCACAACGTCAAAGGCAGTCGGGACAGACGAGCAGATTGTGATATCCACTGGTGGCAATGTAGGAACTCCAAACTCCCGCATGGCTTGGGTGAGAGTGGCTGTGCCCGAGCAGATTTCCAGGAAAAACGGTCCATGAGCTGCAACTGCGCGAGCGTCCCTTGGAACATCGTCCCAAGAGAGCCATTGAGGAGAATTGGACGGCACTGTCAAAACCTCATCCGTGCCGAGCGGCTCGGTGGGCTGAGGAGGGTGAAGCAGAGCCGAAGCCGCACCCTCCTGCTTAACACGCGATCAGTGATCCCGAGCGTGGTTCTGATGTGAGTGTTTAGTGTTTTAGTGCCGGAAATCAAAGATAATTCCTTCTCTCGAGGTCTTTGCCCAATGTGTTTTTTTCAACTTTTGTTGGAATGAACTTAAGATGTTCAGTTGTGTTTGCCATCATTTGGCAATGTTTTAGGTTTTTGGATCTTTTTGGAGGGGTATTTGAAGGCGTCGTCATTTTTGGTGATGTTTCAGATGTCTTTTGGCATGAAAGATGATGAAAGATGTGGGGCAACGAGGAGTGTTGGATGTTAAAAGGTTCATGAAGATTCTGATGTTGCTGTTTTGTTCATCCAGTTTTTTCACTTGTTTTTTTTGCGCTCATCTCCTTGGGCTCCGCCAAGGTGCACTCTGCAGGGACATTGCTCGACATAGATGTTCACGATTTCATGGTCGTTTCAGATCCGCTCGGTGGAGGGTTGGGACCTGCTCTTCAAAACATGTTCTCTGGTCATGGCCATCTACCAACTAATTCAATTGGACCTTTCTCATTTTCCTGGCTTTGCCAAGATGGCAAGATGTTCGTGAAACATCATGAAAAACCAAAGAGAAGACTGATTGCCTCGTGACCAATCACTTCGGGCCGGCTTGTCCAGGTGGAAGAGCTCCTTCTTAGAGCTTTGAATGGTTACGAGGCTGGAAGCTCCACGACTCTAATCGGCGGGTTCAGTTGAAGATATATAAACAGATCTAAGGTCTAATTGATAAACATGGATCTTGGGCTCACCTGGAGAGATCGTTTTTGACGCAGATCTTCAAATCTTGAACATCCCACTGGTTGGGACATCGCATCGGCATCTGATGTTCATCTCGTTTTTCCGCAGCCCCGAACCCGTCGAGACACTTTGAGATCCTCGAGACCTCACCCTGAGCCACCGAGAGCCTCCACCGACACGCTGCGCAGGAGGTGCATGGCCCTGAGCACCAAATTACCCAAATGGTCCGCAGTCACCTGGAGCGCTTCCGCAGAGAACATTCCACCGGTTGAGGCGCGGAAGTGGGAGACACCAGAGACCTGGGAGACTGAAGCTGCGACCTGGGAGACCTACAACTGAATGAGGACCAACAAGTTTCATCCTTTTCAACAGATCTAATCGCATCCTTTCATTCCTGGTTCGCCTTCTTGTGTTGGTCATACAGTCATAAACCCTGCAACAGGCGGGGGTGAATGTTGCACGTCAATGGGCAGGGGCACGCCGCATCTCAGTCCGCCGACTGTACGCTGTCGGTTCCCTTTTTCTGTCGAGTTCTTCAATTCTTATGAAACTACTATATTGTGGAAGGGAAAGCAGACGACACGCGGGCAAAGAGATTAAAGCGTGGCTGGTTTTGGAGTTGTTGTAAGGTTAGGGAAGACTCTTATTGCTCATCCAACATGTGGGCACCACATCTCATACTTCTCGTGAGGCGAAGGAGTGATGGAGTAGCTTGAAGTAGCAGAATCATGCAGAATCCATAGATGTGCTTTGAAATCCGTAGTATCGAATGTAAGTTTGCTAGGTCCTACGGGATCCTCTTCTTTTCGCAATCTGTTTGGGATTCGTACGGATTCGTGAATTTGTGTGCTCGTTTCTGTGTCTTGCAGGCGGAAACTGACATCACTGACATCACGCTCTGCTCTCTCAACTGCCCAACTCCGGCTCCCTTTCGTCGCGCATGATACGGATCCGAACCACATTAGAGCACCGAGAAGACGAGTCCCAGACCGAGACCGAGACCGAGGCGACCTAGGACGGGGCCGAAGTCATCTTTCTCGAACTGGAAAAAGAATGAGGCTCGGTGGAGCGCTGGTGGAGCGCGACCGCAGCGTGGTGTGCGGCGGTGGTGAGGGGTGGTTGAACGGCAGAAGTGCGGGGGGGGAGGCTCCGAAATTTCAGGTGTGAGGCTCATGAAGCCATCAATGGATGGCATTGGGTAGCTTCTTTGGATTTGCTTTCACTTATATAATTATGTACCTTATGAGAAGACTCAAACAACTCCAAACAGTCGAAGGACAACAAAAGAGACAAGTTGCGAGCACCTATCGCTTAAGGCCGCCCCCGTTTTCTTGTGTCGGACATACACATATACACATTCAGTGGAAACAATTCTGGGTTCAGTCCAGATGGAAGAGTCTGGAGCCTGGACTCCGAAATATTCGGATCATCCCGAATCAGGGTCTGTTTGAAGCAGTTTCTTCAGAATTTGACCAATCGGTTTAGAATTAGACTTTTGCAATGGGCTCTCTCTTTCTCTCTCTATTCGATTGCCATAACAAGGTCCCCATTCCATGGGCCCATGAGTAAATTTGGTTCATGTGTTTTTTTGGGACATGTTTTCGGCTTCAGAAAGGACTTCTATATATTGCTTGCTTGCTCAGTCTTCGTGAGGGGTTCTTTGGACTTGTGGCAGACTGTGATCTGGCGCCAGCAGCAAGGCTCAAGCCAAGTTGTCACCACAGAATTGACTCATATACAAATTGCCACTAAGTTACCATAGTTAACATATATAGAGACTTTTCCCATGGTAATCTACTTCCAACTTGTCCAAGCAAACTGATTGTAGGATTGCCAGCAGAGTTGGTGTGGATTTGTTGACTGATGATTTTGATACCTCTCAGATCCATCAGATCCATCACGCAGGTTCCAACCTCTGGCCAAAAAACACTTCGCGGTGTCATTGAATTGGGATGACCTGTGGCAAACGCCCACGGGTGGAACGTTTTTTTGGAGCTGGAACGATCCACCGAGCGGCTGATGAAGATGCAACCCGAGTCTGAAAACATTCAGGATTTCAAGCAAAAAGTTGTGGAGTTATGGTCTAAAGCCGTCAAATCTGGTGTGGAACCAACCCGCAATGCACCAAGCTACAAGTACTTGTTTCGGCCCCCGCCAGGGGAAGTAGAATCTACTCGGCCAAAAAACTAGATTTTCCGTTGACATCGAAACATCGCAGACCGGTTTCAAACCTCAATACTGGATATGATACATTATGATACCGTTTGGTATGTTCCTTTGAACAGTCGCTTTTACGTGAGACCAAGAAAAGTATTTTCTTTGTTGGCCCACGGCAAGGGCGTAAAGACACATCGCAAGTAGGTTCACCGCATAATTTGCAAGAAACACATCGTATTCTTCTTCATCACGATAGCGCCGTGCCCTGCGGCAGTGTTGCGCTCCCTGCGCCTTGGCTAACTCATCTCTTGCCTGCTTTTGAAGGTAAACGACGAAGTGCAGTCTATTCAGAGCATGAAGATTCTCAGTTTTGTTCAACAAACCAACTTTTGCTGGGACTAATTGTGGGAGTCATGAATGTATTCTGGGTGAGCCGATGACTTCTTCGACTTTCTATCGGACTCCTCAGACCTTCGTGGTGGACATGACGTGGTCCTGCTGCTAGAAAACCCAAGTTTTTTTTTGGTAGCAAAAGCAAAAGCAATCTAGTTATAATCGTTTTTGTGATGGCAGCTGTAGCCTTTCACAAAAGTAGTGTATTATTTTTGAATGTCTAAGAGCAAAAAGGAAGAACATTTCAGGTCTACCGCCCGATAAGTTCGAACTCTACCGGTCACCCCAACTTTGGTCAAGAAGCCTAAGGTGGCAATGAGGAGCGGAGGCTCTGCGCAGAAGTACCAGCTGACCACCGCCCAGGTTCGTGTCGCCTGTGTGGCGCCTATTTCGCGCAGTTTGACGTGGGTGTCTCCCGGATTCACCGTTTACATGTTAGGTTGGTGAAGAACTTCGGTGATTCGTTTCAGTGGACCTTGCGTTTCCAAAGAACTTCGGGGATTCGTCGGGTCTAACAGACTGCATGAAGACAGCATCCAATGTGCGGAAGAACTTGGACAGGTAGGTCCTCAGTTCTCTTCGGTTTTTTTTTTCGTTTCTTCCAACCCACAAAATCACGAGCAAAGACGGACTTCTCTCTGAGGGATCGATGAGAGCCAGAGCCAGGTGTTCCCAAGGACTCTATGCTCATCCCATGGTCCATATCCGATTGGTTCACCGGATTTTTTGGCGGAAAATATGCCTGCCTATGCTAAGTCAGGACCAGGCAAGGTCTGAAGAGTTGACCGTCAGATTGAGAATTGATTCAGATATCCAAAGAGGTGGTACAGGGTGCACACAATGTGCACACTTAAGGATGCCGTCGCTAATCAGACATGAAGTCGCTATTACTAGAACTAAGAACACTTACAGAGAGCTTAGAGAGACTTTTAATTTGAAGGAAACAGAACCGAACTCAGGCTAATCCCCCTCGTTCATTCATTCCCTCGTTCATTCAATCTCGGGCATCGGAGAATTGGACCTCCAAGTCGGTCTCCGTCCCGACCGACCCGGTGTCCAGGTGCAAGAGGCCGCCGGCTGGGACCAGGCAGGAAGTGGGTGTCGAGTCTTCAGTTTCCCAGGCTCTCAATGCCTCTCTCCATGTTTAAGCTTTTCAACACAATTTTATAGATTTGGTCACTCCATGGTCCGTTCAGTCGCTCTCTTTGCAGTGTGAACCGCAACAATCGAGCAAACGAGCCACATGTGCGTGGCAGAGTAGGCAGCATGAGTCTTGAACACTCGAAAAGGCTGTGGACGGAACATCGCAATCGACCACTGTGAGTTTGCAGAAAGGCAACACAACCATTGAAAGATCATATACTGCAATGTGATGAAAGCGACCCATGTTTTCTGTCGGGTCTCATGCACCAGGCCCCTCCTCAATTGGTGTCCAACTCTGGTGCAGAGTCCACCACCCTTGGTTGGCGCATTGCAGTGAATCTGCAAATCCACATGTAGAGCACTTCAGAAGGCCGCGGGAGTGATGGCGCTGACTCTTTTGTGTGGGAGTCTTGGGAGGTTCCAACTAAGAGTTGATGGATGCAGATACAGTAAGTTTGTCAGTCACAATTTCATCACGATCTTTTGCTGGATTGATAGACCTTCCTTTGAATTTTGCTATATTCCAGATGGCTTCAGCTGGGCGGTTCGCTGGGTTCCACCAAGTCCATCGGTTCGCTTCGACCTTGGGCGGGAACAGAGTGAGCCATGGTCGAGACGTGCTTCGAGTAGGACCATGACCATGCACGGTCGAAGTGAGTATCCGAGGATGTTCCGTACCTTTCGAGCTTTTCACACGCAGCCATCTATAGACTACATTGGGTTGCCAATGGAAAGTTCTACTGCTCAAGCCCTGACTGAAGTTCGTGATCAGACCAGCACCTTGTGTCTTTTTTGGGAACAGCTTGGTGGAGCAGTGAAATCAGGATCTGAAAAATTAGTACATCCCTCCCATTTGCCCCCCTTTGCCTCCCATCTCAGCGGATTCTTTTTTTCGCATTAAGACCAATAACCAGACCACCCACGTGGTTCGCCACGTGGTTCGCCACGCGTTCGCCACGTTCTCTCTCTCCGCTCTCTCCGCTTCTCCGGGGACGAACGGAGCCGGGCTCCGGTGCGGCGAAGGGCGGTGCGGCGTGCGGCGACGAAGGCACCTGAAGCACCTGAAGCACCTGATGTGGGAAGGTCGACTCGATGAAGGTCGATGTACTTCACTGAGAGTAATTAGGGGAAGTTCGATGCATTTCCCAATAGAGGGTAGGATGTGGGAGTTCGACTTTGGAGTGAAGTCATTCCCTCGAATCATACTGCCTAGGACTCACATTTCCTAGCCCAACGACTGTAATTATATAAATGGAGAAGTGGAGAGTCGTGTCTTTTCTTGGATGGTTTTGGATGTGTCCAGATGGGAGTCCGATTCAAAAGGTCTGAACAGCGATTTCCCAAAGGAGTTCTTTCTGTTTGGAAAGGACCACTCAAGTCATATTATAGTATCAATATAGTCTTCATTCTTCGGTACCTCGGAATGGTCAGAAAGATTGTTCACTTGGCTTGAAGATGCTCCCTGACGGAGTGATCAAGAAAAAGATTGATAGTTTTGTTGTTGGTGGTAATGATTATGGAAAATCAGAAAACACACACATATATATATATATATATTGCGAATGGAAGTGCAGCGACA